TCACATTCATACCTTAGTTTCTTGCTCATGATATTTATTTTACTTTACCAGCTATGTGTTATAAATTGCTTGTAGGTGGCTGGGTGATTGGTTCATGGCTATGTGATAACCAACTAGCCTTTGACAGATCTCTCATCATGGTTTCCCCTATTTCCTCTTGCAAAGCTTGTCACTTTAGGTGGGGGACCAAGTTTAGAGATGATTAGAATTTGAGTTTATCAGTTGTGGTTTGGTCAGATGATCTTGGTGTCACTGTCCACCATTATTCACTTATAGGCTCGGACAAACAATCTTAACATCACGACTGACAAGTTTTTTTTGTGGGTCTAGCCAAATAATCTTAGCATCATGACCTACTAGTTTTGTTTATGAGTTTAGCCATACAATTTTAGTGTCACAGAATAACTTTGTTTGTGGCTTTAACAGGATGACCTTAGTGTTATGGCTGACCAAAATTATTTGTGGGTTCAACCTAATGATCACGACTGACTAATTTTTAGTTGTCAGGTAGCTTATGTCGTAACCGTTTTATGTCTGGGGCATCGAAGCTGGGATCCAATCTTTCACTTGGATGGGCCTCAGTCGCTTAGTTGGACCTTAGTCTTAGGTTGGGTCCCTCGCTATGAGAGAAGACCGCCTAAATGCTCCCTTCAAGAAGATTGTCGTCATATTATTGAAAGATCTTGTTACTATTGTGCAAGGAAACATCTAAAGATGTTTGTTAGATCGAAGTTAAGGGAGTTAAGCATGTGGTGAGAAGAACACTAAACTAGGTATTTTTTTATCAGGCATCTATAACATCATTGTTGTAATTTTTTTCTTAGGAATTTTAAGTTCTTTGGGGTTTGATATGATGTTATAATGGCTTTTTGATTCAGTAAGTTTTTCGAGTATGTTTGATGTGAAATTTTTTAACTCTTCAACAACAAATTGTTCAGTACCTCTTCGAAATTATAGGGGGAGTAGTAATACTTTGAAGGCATAAAATAAATGAGGATGATATTCTTTTTATTATAAAAATTAATACAAAAATATTAGGAAAGATTTTTTTGAGGTCAACTTCGCTCCATGTTAGAGAAACTTCATTTCTAGCATAAGTACTTTTATTGTATGCTTGAGCTCCTACTCCCCCATCGGATGATGTCACAATCGTTACACATCTAGTACAATTTGCCAACCATCTAACAATGAACAACATGATCAACCAGTCCGTGGGGCATGTTTTTGGCACTATTCCTTAATGAGAGAACACTTCTACTTCTTTTAACAGTGTCAACCAGAAATATCCCTACCGTTGGACACAGTTTGCCATTATTTTTCCCTTTGAGTGACTCCAACATTCTCTACAATGGATTTCAAGGAGAATATTTTCTGCCTCATTCTCTTTGATGTAGTTCAAGTATAATGATGTGCTTATTTTTTTAAATTTTTTTCCTTTTATCAATAGGTATTAGGATGCTTTGATTTTAAGTCTTTTGTGATTTATGACCTCCTTTGCAATTTCTCTAGTCTCTAAGTACTAGACGCAAGAATCTATCCAACTCTTGGTTCTTCCAATTTCCATAGGCATCACATATAGTTTCTTGATGGCTGGCAAGCTGAGTTTTTGTAGGGACACATTCCTCAAGTGAACACATAATAGTTTTGTAACATGATTTTCTTCCCAACCGATATGCTCAATCCTGAGCTGAGTAACTTTAAAATTTCAGCTTTAGTCTTACTGAGGTACCTAATCATCACTTCATCTCTAACATCAAAATCTACATTTATTTGATTAAGTACGAGTTGTGAATCTATCTTTACGAGTATGCACTCGATGCCCATTTCACAGGCTAGGTGTAAGCCAACGATCAAGGCTTTAAATTTTGTCGGATTACTCAATAACTCAAACTCTATAGCCATCAACTGATAGAAGTGCTCCTTTGATATGCTACTCAAATTTATCCCTAACCCTACTCTAGCTTAACTTGAAGCATCATCTAAATATGAGAGCCATTCTTATTAGTTGGTAGAGACTTCTTAGCTTCGCTCCATTTGTTTTGAAAAGTCTGCTAGGAAATTTGTGATTATATGAGCTTTGATGGCCAACTGGAGGAATATGTGATGTCAAATTCACATTGCTTCACCACTCACATCAACAATTAGCTGGAATGGGCTAGTCGATGACACGAAATTTTGCTTGGTTATTACTAGAGAGTATAAGGAATACTGCCTTGAAGAAGAAGGTGACTTCGAAGAGTCCCAGATAGAAGATGCTCCTCCAAATTTAAAAGAAGAGATCAAATAATTGGTCGATGAGTTAAAAGAGATCAATCTAGGGGCTGAAGATGACCCTAGATCCACTTTTATCAGTTCCCTGTTAAGTGATGATGAGTATGCATAATTGGTCAAGCTATTGAAAAAATTCTGAGATTGCTTCGCTTGAAACTACAACGAGATACCTTGTTTAACACTGAAGGTTGCAGTTCATAGACTTGGAGTAGACCCGACTATGACCTTGGTCAAGCAAGTTCCCAGAAGGATGCGTCTCGAGATTGAGCAACAAGTTTCCACCGAGATTAAGAAATTGATAGATGCTTACTTTGTGAGAGAAGAACAGTATCCAACATGATTAACTAATGTTGTGTCAATTAGAAAGAAGAATGGACAGTTTGAGTTCGCGTCAATTTCAGAGACTTAAAGAAAGCTTGCCCAAAGGACGAGTTCCATTACCAATTCCATAACTAATGGTAGACATTGCGTCGTCTGATGCAATCTTATCACTTATGGGCGGATCTTCCCTTGATGGGACGTACTGCTATAAATTTTATTGAAGTGTTAAATTAGTTTTCTTAACTTAAGTTATATTTTACATGTAATTATAAAATCACAGAACTAGTTTTTTTTATTTTTTCATAAAATCAAAAAAGAGGTTCTAACATTTACTTTCATAAAATCAAACCCTAAAAATTGCTTCGAGTTTGGACTTTTGTGAAGGAAATATGCACGACATGCTTAACTAACAATATGGATGTGTTCTCATTGATTAGATGATGCTTTAGAAATAACTCCCATGCAATTTCATAGATAATCGGGGGAGATCTTAGCGTTTGAACATGAATGGTATTCGACTAATCGTCCTGTGGGGATGATAAATGGATGTTGTTCATTTTTGTGAATCAGAAATGGAAGTCATCAATTAAGTCGAACCACAAAACCATCAATGCGAATATGATGAAATTGCAGGGCACCTCGGACGATAGTGTGGAAAGCGTCGCAAATCAAACCACTCAGCTTCGGATTTCGGAGCTGCCGAAGATGACAGGGTGCCGCGTCAGATAAGTGGGAAAATCTTAAGTTCTTATTTAATTAAATCCAGAAAACTCAAATAAACTTTAAAAAATTATAACTCCGCCTAAAAAAATCCAAAAAATAAAATAAAAATATCTCTCAAGTTAGGGAATAGAGGAGAACATAATAAAAATAAATTTGAAAAGAATTAGTTTATATTTAATTTTTAATTAATTAAATACTCTCTGGGGTATTTTAATTTTTAAACATTAAAGAAAAATCCAAAAATCATGAAATTTGTAGGGGTTAATTCTAACACTCTTGAGAATATTCTCTAATTTTTCCAATATTATGAGATAATCCTAAAATGAAAAAGACCAAATTTCTATCAAACTTGTAATTTATTTTTTAAATAATTATAAAAAATCTGAAAATTGGAAATTAAAATGGGAATTGATTAGGAAATATTCTAAAATGAAAAAGACCAATTTTCTACCAAAATTGTATTATTTTTTTAAATAATTAAGAAAATAAAAAAATTAAAAATTAAAATGGGAATTGATTAGGAAACTTGGGGTAAGAAATTTAAACCCTAAAATAATAATTTCCAACCTTTAAAAATTAAAAAATAAAAATTTAAAATCTTAAGGGCAAAATTGTAAAATTTAAAAGATTACATTGTATCACAAATTGTCTTAACCCTAGTTTAGAGCATTAAGCTAATCCTAACTTAGGTTTAAGGGATTAACAAAAGAAGACAAAAAGTTACATTACCGAAAGATCAAAAGACTTGATTAACCAAGTACAAATCCTTTAGAATTTGGACCCGAAGTTAACCAAACAAAAACTTTCCTAGCCAATGACCAATCCCCATCAAGTTGAGAAAAGGTCTAAGCCTAACTCTCATCCCAACATTGCAGTCTCCTCATAAGAGCCTTTGAGACCCTTCATAAAGAAGCTCAATGTTTTGCCATGATGTACTCCACGAACACCTCGAATGACTTTTTCTTAAGGGGCAAACTACTATTGGATTACAGTGATCTACTTTCTGCCCGACAACCTAGTCTTATCCTAACGACAGTAGCTCCTCATCTAAGGATCGATAATCAACTGCCAGACCAAAGCGGCAGACTGACAGACTCAAGCCGTCCGAGCCAAGTCTGGATGACCAAATATCAACAACAACCGATCTGCGACCTCCACCTCAGCATAGACGAACAATTGAGCCCTGTCGAACCAAGGTCTACTGATCTCAGCCGACCGAACGATAGTGTAGAGGAGCCATATGCTTATTTATGTAAATACCCAAAATACCCTGCAATGCCCCCAATTAAATTAGGGTTAAGCGTGTAATTGTACATATTATATCCCCATTGTTGATAAACAAGACACTATTCCATAAATAAAAAGATTACAAAATCTCTTTATTCACCTAATTGTCACCGTGCATTCTCCTTTTATCTATCTTTTTCTCTCTTGTTTTACGCTCTATCTGTTTGATGTGAGTCCTGGGCAGTTTCAGATTCAACACTTATTTGTTGACAAATTTAATTAAACTTAATATCTTTTCTGAATCCGAACGAATGGCTAAAATTAAAAGATGGACAACTATTTCTTGAAACAACAGACTGAATTGTGTTTCAGAAACTCAAATAAAAAAATGTAAATATGTTCGGCTATTGTTATTTACCTTGAATCAATTAATATATATCTCTAGCTGCACGTGTGTTGCAGATGCAAGCACTCCAACATTTTTTTTTTTGTACCTCAACTTCTTTTATCTCCGCCTCTCAGTCGAACAGAATTAGCATACCATTTTAAAATTTCCTCTTATATTTACCCAGACAGGAAATCCACGATAATTCCGGCAAGTGCTGTCCTCCTCTCCCGTGTGGCTTTACCATCTCCCCTAATTCGACCGATTTATCCATTCAAGCCGATCTGGAGTTATACACTGCCGCGCTTCTCCGAGCTAGCTTTAGCCTGAGGGTTGTGTTCTTACAGCTCCCCAAGCTCGATGCTTTTCAATTCCTCAAGTTGCTTCTTCTGTATCATTTTCCTTTTAGTAGCAGTCAGAGGACCCGAACTTTGCTGGTAACACTAATTCCTTGTCGGCCGGTTCAAGGAAGAAGGGAACTTTGAAGGCGGAGGCAGAGCTGATTGGTTTCCTGATAGGGAACCTGGTCTGGCTTCCAGAGTGTGAAAATCTTATTTTGGATTCGGCGGACATAAACTGTTTTCTACTCGACTATGCAGCTGATTTGGTTTCTTGGAGTGTGAAATGTGAGCCTTTTTTGAAGTGGATTAGGTAGGATTCCTAGGCAAGTCTTTTATTATCGCAAAAGGTTTTTTAGGGGTTTGGGATCGACGCGGAGGCGGCGGACATGTGCACGATAGGTTCCTGTTACTTTCTGCGTGTTTCCTGAGCTTGTTAGAGTGCTGCTATGAAGCTCTCGACTGTGGGAATCGTGGTCCAGCAGGAGGAGGAAGGTTCTCTCTCTCTCTCTCTCTCTCTCTCTCTCTTCGTTCTGTCCATTTTGCTCTCTCCTATTTATAGTTGGTTTGATGTTTGTGGTTTCGTCGACATTATAGCAGGGGGGGACAAGAGATGCTTGAACTCCGAGCTTTGGCATGCTTGTGCTGGTCCTCTGGTGTGTCTACCCAATGTCGGCACTCGTGTAGTCTACTTTCCGCAGGGCCACAGTGAGCAGGTAAAAGTCAGAAGTTCAAAAGGTTAATTTTGACGCTTGAAGGTTTCCTTTTTCTCTTTCATTGATTCATCTTAACATTGGTGTCAAGGTTGTGGCTTCAACCAATAAGGAGGTTGAGGGTCATATTCCTAATTATCCAAATTTGCCACCTCAGTTGATCTGTCAACTACACGATGTGACTATGCACGTAAGCTTGCTTATTCTATGTTTCATATCAACTTGTTAATTGGCGAAGTAAGTGTTCTGATTGATTATGAACAATTTCAGGCCGATGCTGAGACTGATGAGGTCTACACACAGATGACTTTGCAGCCTTTGAATCCGGTATATTCTCAATTTCAGTGTAGTTTGATATTGAGTGATTAATTTACCGGTTATTTTAGGTAGTGAAAGTGTTGTAAGTCAGTGCAGCAGGAGCTCAAAGATACTTACCTTCCAGCCGAGATGGGGCTGCCAAGCAAGCAGCCCATGAATTATTTTTGTAAGACTTTGACAGCAAGCGATACAAGCACTCATGGAGGGTTTTCTGTTCCTCGTCGAGCAGCTGAAAAAGTTTTTCCTCCCCTGGTGTGTTTTTATCTGCATGCTGTGTTTTTCGTAGGAGATTTGATTGGATTGACATGAAGATGATGGGTGTTGTTGCTTTCATTTTTTAGGACTTTTCTCAACAGCCACCTGCACAAGAACTGATTGCTAGAGATATTCATGATGTTGATTGGAAGTTCAGGCATATCTTTAGAGGTAGTAATAGCAATAGCTTATAAAAAATTGGTTGTTTAAGCTCTTGTATAAAATTTTTTTCCATGAAACTGTAATCATTCTCATTTTGACGCAACATTTTTCTGAAATTAATGTAAACTTTTTTAATAAAATAAAAACAACTGTTATGCAAGTAAAATTTCATCCAAATTAACATAACATCACTTGTGATAAGAAATCTATATCAACTGTTATGCTTCTTCATTTGGATCAGATGAGGATCACCAGTACATTTGCTTAATTTTTTTCCACCCATTTGATTGGATTCTTATAAAGGATCATCAAATAGTATAAATTTGTATGATAATATAAATTTAATATGTGAAATAAGGTCTCTCTCTCATGTACGGTTCATTATTGTAATTTATGTGAATTTGCTAAGCGGGGTTGTAACCCAAGAATTATGATTCATTAAAAGTTTGGTCACATTTTTCTAAGATCCTGCTGGGCCGCCATTGTAAAATGTATTGTATGATTTCCATCAAATTCTTGCTATCATAATAACAGAGAAATTTTATAAAACTTTAAAGTTAGGGCTTCTCTTTTCCTCCCACTTCTTCACCTTTGCATCCTTTCTTATATTGCTTTTGAGGTTTTGTTTGAATCTCTAAAGTTGTTCGTGATCATAATTATATGAAGGAATTTATTTTATTTTTGTAATTGTACCTTTTTAGCCATCTTTATAAGTGTCTCATTTTATCTAAGAGGTTTCTCAATTTGATCAGATTGATTTATTAAAACATGTCAAGTTTTTGTGTTTAATATGATGATCTTTGCATTTTAGTAGCTTCAAAATATTTAATTTTTTTTCGATAAGCATCATTTTATTGCTCGCTTTTTAGTTGTTTATTTTATACTAGATTATAACAGTTGATCATCTGAATTTGGTAACCATTGTGTGACATTCCAGCAAAATTTTGTTCTGGCATCAAGTCATTAACATCTTGGTGTTAATTGTGCTAGTACTGCTTTGGCATGATGGAAGGAGCAAGGGAAATTTCATCATCTCCAAATCATGACTTAAGGCAATTCAGTCTAATGGAGAACAATGCAAATGCAGAATATAATTGCCTTAATATATTTCATATGAAGTTTAATTTTTAAGTTTCTTTCTTCACAATTTGCAGGACAACCAAAACGGCATCTTCTCACCACGGGCTGGAGTGTTTTTGTTAGTGCTAAGAGGCTTGTTGCTGGTGATTCTGTTTTATTTATCTGGTTAGTACTTAAGACTTTAGTTTCATGTGAACTATGGGAATTGAGGTGTGGATCTCACTGAATGTGATTTCCAGGAATGAGAAAAATCAGCTTCTGTTGGGAATCCGACGGGCTAATCGGCCACAAAATGCTGTACCTTCTTCTGTTATATCGAGTGATAGCATGCATATTGGACTGCTTGCCGCTGCAGCACATGCTGCTGCAACAAATAGTCGTTTCACCATTTTTTACCACCCAAGGTAAGATTTATGAAAGCCACCATCTTGTTATGATATTTTTTTTATTATTTGGAATTCGCTAATGTTAAATTTATGTAGGGCTTGCCCTTCAGAGTTTGTGATACCACTATCAAAATATGTTAAGGCTGTCTTTCACACTCGTGTCTCAGTTGGCATGCGTTTTAGGATGCTTTTTGAAACGGAGGAGTCAAGTGTTCGTAGGTACGTTAGTGTTTTTTAACTGAAAGCGAAAAAATAAGTACATTTTTCTAGGTTACTAACTTTTGACTCAAAGATGCCACCTTTGTGAAATGCATGCATGAACTAAAAATTGCACAGTTTATTTTCTTCTTCTTTTTTTTTTATTTTTATGGACGATTGTCATGAATGTTGATTCCAATCTATGCCATGTGCTTCATTTTCAAGTACTACCTTGATATTTTGAGATCATCATTCAATATTCTGATTTTTTGGATTTAGTTTCTACATCCATTAATGGTTATCTATGGACATATATGCTAGAAAACCTGAGGGATGGATGCTGATAATGTTATATTGTTGATTGTACTTAGTGCTGCATGCAGAAGACTAAATTGCATGTAAAATAGATTTTTGCCCTCTCGTTAGGTTGGGTTTGCTTCATTGCTATGGTATGTGCTCCTGCCAGGATTGAACATTTGCATGTATTTGCATGTTCATTGTGAAAATGTATGTATTTGCTTGTGTATTTATGTTTAAGTGCATATATTTGCATGCACATGAATTTGTTCGACCATGTGCCTGTGTATATGTGTGCCTCTAGTTGTCCGAGAGAGCTTGTTTACTTGTGCATGTGTGGTGGTGTGTTTATGAACTAGAAAATTGCTTTATGCATGCATGCTTGTGTGTGCATGGGTAGGTGGGTTGGGGATGTAGTGGTAATCTATCTTTTCCTTTTTTTTTTTTGCTATTGTTTCTTTTTATTTGTTTATAAACTTATTGAGAAACCTATTGCTTGCTATTGATTGTACCAGTTTAAGTCCAATATTCCTTTAACACTTCGGTGAAATAGCATTCCTATCATATATTTTCTTACTTGTATTTTCCCTAATGATTCTAGATGTTAAGTTTCTGATATGTTTATGATTATATTTGCTTTAAACACCCATGTGTGGGGAAATTAAATTAATAATGTATTTTCTTGTAATAATTTACAGTTTGGAAATTTATTCTTGTAATTGGAATCTTGTGTTTCATCCAGGTATATGGGTACAATAACAGGAATAAGTGACTTGGATCCTATACGTTGGCCGAATTCCCATTGGAGATCAGTGAAGGTGAACTGTTAACTTCTCTATTTCCCTTTTCTCTCGTGTATTTTGTGTGCTAGTGAATTGTGGATTTCAAATGTATCTTGCATCATAAGTCTTGGAGTGTTCTGTTATAATTGTTATTGCTTGGGTGTGAATTTTTGCATCATGATTCATAGCACAAGGCTGCTTCTTTTGATGGGTATGTTATTGTTGGGTGGGTTCATAAAAACCCTATATGGATTTACTAGGATATCAAGATTGGTGTAAATATCAAGACAAACTTGCATGAATCTCAATGATTCTAGACAACCCAATAATGGGTGATCCAGTTTGATTCATACCACTCAAATCTAGCCTAAATTGATCAATTCAACTAAACTTGGTCGTCTATGGTGTGCTTGCAAATTTTCTACAATGAGTTAGAAATCAACAAATAAAGTTTAGAGACCTCTGCTTAGATTCCTATTTATTAGGGCAACCGTTTTGTTGTGGCAACACATTTTTCGCATTTTTCTACCATCGATGGCATTGGGAGGAACCTTATGTCATCACTTTTATGCATGAGAGCTCCATTAGAGATGCTCCCTAGCATGGATTGGCCAATCAAATTAGTTAAGCGGCTTGATCTGATTTGTTTTATTCAAGTAAAGGGGAAATTGAACCTTTTTTCCCAAGGGACCAAAGTTGGGAATGGGATGGACTTTATCATAATTTTCCACACTAACCCACCAACCAAACTGAATTTTGATATTCAAAATCTTATTGCTAATTGTATAAATAAGGTTTTAAGATAGATATTTCATACATTTATGCGGTTGTGCATCCTTGAATCAATGTCTTAATTGCTTAGTTGCGTGATCTAGATTAAGAATGTCTTAAAATGTTGCATTTTGTGGGCTCTGAAAATTCGCCTCGGCTGGTTGAATTTTGTGGGCTTTGAAAATTCACGCCCCGGCCTCTTGTTGAGAACTTTGTATTTATTCGTGTCAAATTTTTTAGAATACATATTACATAGTAGATAAGACTACCTAAAGATTTCATCCTCATTTTATAATGATTTTATGATCCGAGGTTAGAGGTTTCCCATAGGCACAAGTTTCTGTGGTTAATTACCCCTTCCGATAACGGTAGAGCACTTTTGATTGAAGCTATTCGTTATGCACTACATATTCAACATATAGTATCACAAACATAGGTTTTATGTTATATCATTTATCATTGTGAACTAAAAGCGGTTGGTGGCAAAATGATAACGAATTTGATTAAGATCCCATTGTTTCATCGTTTAGAGTCATTTTGGTCCATGATTTACTTAGAGTGGTTGCTGGTCTACTTAACATGATGAGATAATTGCCTCAATTTGACTAAAGGATCCTTAATAGTCGTCATAAGTTGCGTCATTCAATGTAACTTTGTAGATTTATGGTGGATGCTAGTCTAAGGGGATAAATTTAAGTTGGTCTTAGCTGAGTGATAAATTTATGTCAATCATGTATGCCATTGTGATTTACAACTTTAAAATATAAGAGACCATTAGGAACATATAGATTATAGCTATGATTAACATGATGAGATAGTTGCCTCAATTTGACTAAAGGATCCTTAATAGCCGTCCTGAGTTGCACCATTCAATGGAACTTTGTAGATTTATGGTGGATGCTAGTCTAAGTGGATAAATTTAAGTTGATCTTAGCTGAGTGATTGATTTATGTCAATCATATGTGTCATTATGATTTACAACTTTAAAATATAAGAGACCATTAGGAACATATATATTATAGCTATGACCATTCTTTAATGGTGTCATTTGGTGACAAATCACCTATTCAAAGAGTTCTGGTCGTAACAACTTTCTTGTGGAGCCGTTAACGGAACCAAGACATGTCACGCCATGCCATTCTTGGCGTGAGATTGATTTGAGTGTGAATATATAAATATATTTGATCTTACATTTGCTCTTTATGAGCTAAAGTTAATAAAAAAATTGTCATCCTCAATAACTATTGTGGATGGTGGATTGAGCATGTTTTAAGCTTTAGGTGATTGAATTTACTTGTGTCTTCTCTTTTGTTAGTTTGAAAATTTGATTTGAAACTGATTTAAAAATGAGTCATTTGTTTAAGATTTTCAGTCAATTTGACCATCATTGAGATTTTTATTAGTTGATTTGAATATTGTCAACTCTATATCTTATTTATTAGAGGATCATTTTCATAATACAAAATTTATTTGAATATTATAGACGCCTATTGACTCTAGCCCGTTCATAGAGGTTCGGGCTTAAAGATTATGTTTTATGATTTTTTTTATAATTTTCAAATTAAATATTTACATTTTAAGTTTGGAATTTTATTTTTAAAATAAACCACTATGGTTAAAATCTTTTATCAATGCGGCTAGCTTCGAAGATTTATTTGAAATATTAACTTTTATGATTTCATTGAAATTTGTCTCTTGAATATTATCAAGATATTAATCTTTTCAACCTAGTCCATATGAGAATCCAATTGTCGATGCGCAAGCTCAGTCTTGTCAACCTTAATTCTTATGAGGAGTAGGTCAGACTGATTGATATGAAACTTATGATCTTGCCTTATAAATAAGGCAGCTCATTCTAGAACGTGCATAATTTGATATTTAATATTTAATTTTAAAAAGAAATTTTTATAAAATTTAAATATTATAAGCATTGTAGTTTGATTTTAACTTCCAACTCATGCAACATTTGAATTTAGTTATTTAAGATAACATAAGAGCATACACAAGCTTAAATTTATTATAAAGTGCATACATTTTAGGGTATTTTAAGGATTATTGAATGATTCATGCACACATCATAGAAATAATAAAACTTTAGTATTGACGTATTCCCTATGATGCGGCCTTAACTTAAGTCCAGGTGCACTTGCACTCTGGGGGCCTTACACAAGTGCACGTGTCGCTTTTGTAATATAGGACATTTGAGTCCAGATGATCAAACCCACAGAGAACGAGGTGTTTTAAGTCTAGGAAAAGTTCCAGCCTGCTAAATTCGTTTTTATCTTGGAAGTAAATTAGTTTGAAGCTGTGCTAACTAGTCTTACTCAATTACAAACTCTTAAAGGTTTACTCCTAATGAAATTTTATTTAATATATTTGGATTGGTGACAATCAAGTTGAAGTGCTACCTTCCCTTCTAATGATTTAAGTGGAGTCAAGGAATTAAAAAATTGCAAATTGTAAATGAGGCTAGTGGAAAATAGGAGAAACTCTCTTTTTTACCTTCTCTCGAGTGCATAAAAAAGTTTGGTTAAACTAGTTTTTAATTCCTTAAATCTCAATTTGAACCTAACAAAGATTATTTCCCTAAGATTTGTATCTCTCTATAGTGTACTTGCTCCATAACTAGTTGTTATTCTATAACTTTTTTGAGTCTTTATGGGTCACAATACATTTTAACTAATCACTTGGCCAGAATGAAAATGAAATAAAGATTTGAAGGCTACTCATCACATTAAAGATTTTAAAAATATTTCTGAAGTCATTCGTTCAATCCTACACTTAATCAACACAAGGGAAAGTTAAAAAGTCTACTCAGAAAGCATTGAGAAAATACCACAAATCATCTTTAAAAACAAGTAAATCCACTATAAAATTGTGTTTACAGAATTCAAATATAAGAGTACACAATACTTAGCTTTGACACTCATTACAAAGCTTTGAGAATGCTCCCTAAAGATGGTCTTCTCCCTTGTTGCTAATCTAAACATTGTCATTACAATTCAACTCAAATTCCTCACCAATCACTCAAGTAATCTTATCCTATATTCTCCTACAACAAACCCTACTCCTTTACCAAAGACCGACCAATGATTGTAAAAAGACTCCTTTATCAAAGACCCCTTTATCGTGCAGAATAACCCCCAACATTGTGTCGAACAACTGTTGAAAACTGCCCAGGTTGTTCTTTGGCGCCTAGGCGCCACGGGGCTGGCGCTTAGGCGCTAGGCTCAATGTCTGCACAGTTTCATATGGGCGCCTAGGTGCCGAAAAACCTGGCACCAAGACATTGAGCTCCAACCTCTCGGTTCTTAGCTTGGGACTGGCACCTAGGCGCCCAAGAAATCTGGCGTCAAGGCGCTTGTCACCTGTGTCCTCCATATCTCCAAGTCACATTCACTTTGCACAATTTCTTCTTCACTTTGCTCCATTCCTAACACTTGTTGTACCTACAAAAAAAAAATCATAAAAATATATTTCTTCAAAGTGTATTTTCATTTATAAATATGTGCAAAACATAAAAAAATTAAACTCATTTCTACACATCAAAATCCCACAAATTTAAAGGTTATTTGTCCTCAAGTAACGATAGAATATTAAAACCATTTTATGTAATTTGAGGGAGTGAGTTTCATTAAAATTAACAACAATTTTTGCTTCAGAAAATTCAATGTAAATTTAGATTAACTTTAACAAATGAGTCCAACCTCAATGTATAAGTAATTCTTTTACCCAACTATGAAAACTTGATTTCTTATTTACTTTAAAAAAAACAATTAATACTTGTTAATTAAGGTACCTTAGATGGTGGAGAAACAAAATTTAAGCCCCCCATTAAACAAATTTTACTAATACTCCTTAAATACACGTAGCTTAGGAATGTAATGCAGCATCAACTTAAAAAAGAAAATCAAGTGAAAATAATTTTTGATCAAGCTGCTCCTCACTCAATATTTTCATGTAATCACTATTTTTCATGCTTTAGGGTGTATATTTTAATATCTACATAATTGTAGGAGGATTACTATATCTGGATAGTTCTTTAATAGTTTTAGATTTCACTATCATCTTCCTAAAGTAAAACATGCTACATTCAGCTTTTAAACTTTTCAAAAACTAATATATTCGTTGAAAATATGATTTTAACTAGTGCTCAATTTTATAAATAGTATATCTAGGGATACTGAGATGAACAAATATCTCTTTTTTTTTAAATGAATAGAAAAATCATTTTTCAAATGTTGAGTTACGAGTTAACTTAACAC